CTCCCAGGGGCTCTGCCTCCTTATTCATCTGGGTGGCTGCTATGGTCAGCTGAGGTCAGACTCCCCATGACCCTGCGCTCACCACAGTTGCCAGCAGCAACTGGGAAAGTCACTTTCCAAGTCACTTGGGAAAAGTTATGGTGAGGAAAGGTGATTGGGTAATGGCCAGTCATAGGTCAGGCCCTGGGGACAGGGAGGGTCTGCAGGAGCCAGGACTGCGTGTCCAGGGCTGCAGGGAGTCCAGCTGGAGTGGCAGCTGGTAGAAGCTTCCCGTGCTGTGACGGGTATTGGCTGGCTACCACAGGCCCCTGGGTCTCAGCCCTGAGTCCCCACTCATAAGGATGGGACTAGAGGGCATCCGCCAGGAAGGTGCCCATCCCAGCCAACCTGGTACCACCCTGACCAAACACCAGGCCCCGGCTTGTGGGCTCTCCGACACGGGTTGGGCAAGGCCGGTCCCAAGCCCGACCTGAGCCAGGGAGTCAGCCTGTGGGTGCCATGTTCCAGGAGCACTTGCCTCTATTCCTGGTGGAGACGCTGTTTGTCAGTCCCAGCAAAGCAGAGCACCACCCAGCTGTGAGCGTGCAGCTTGGGGTAAGCGTCCTCCAGGCCTCCGTCCTTGATTTTCCAGAGTCTAAGGCAGCTCTCCCTGCCAAGAAGCATAGGGGACAGAGGAGCTGCCTTAGACATTCTTTCTCCAAGCTGTGGGAATTCTGCAGATTGAATTCCTGCTAACATAAAATTGGGTCCCAAACAAAATGTGGCCAGATGATGCACTCGGCAGTTCGGAGACCCCTGAAGACCTGCATCCAGAGCCAATGTGTCGGAACAAGCAGGGACCGTGGGGTTCAAGGGCACCTGAGATGGTGTGACATTGAATTTCGTGTTCGAGCAGCGGGTGCTCTGAGTGATTCCTTTCACACACGTTCCCTCACGTATCTCTCACGACTGCCCTGAGAGGCGGGCAGAGCTGATGGGATGAACCACGTTTACAGGATGGTCTTGCTCACGGGGTGGGGGGTGAAAGAGCAGACAGCAGGCAGCAGGAGTAACTGTGGGGCCTCACTGGGCCTCGGCACCTGCCACAGCGCCGCTGCTAGGCCGCTGGTTTGAGGGCGGCGTCAAAAGACAAGCAGAGATCTGGCATCGCGCGTGTTGTGTCCAGGTGTGGGCACTGGACAACAGGGGCCTGGGATGCAGTCCAGGCTGCCGCTCATTGGCTGGGCCCGCGGGAGTCCCTTGGGGAGACCCCTTGGCCTGGAGCTCAGCCTGTGGTTCACGCTCGGTATGAGTTATTCTGTGATGCAGGGGATGGCAGTTCCTGATTCCCGGCACTCGCAGGCCCAGGTGCTTCTGAGGGAAGGTCAGTATCTGGGGGATGAGAGGCCTCTGCCCTCTCATTTATTTCTCGGGTCTTGTTTTAATATCACGGCTGCTAATCAAACCACATAAAAGAGTTGGGGGTGACCTGCCAAGCTCACTTATGAACTCCAGCCTTGATCTGCCTCGAGTTGGACAGCTGGACAAAAATCTCTATTTCTTTGTTCATCTTACTGCCTCCACACCTCATTTATTTTATAAATCCCCCCTTTTGGTGCTCTTTGTTTCAGGGTAAAGGAGAAAGGAGTTTCAAAATGAGTCATCATGGGAACAAAAAGCCCAGTGCCCTCCTGACAGGGGTGGGGGCGGGTCTTCCCAGGCCATCCAGTGTGGGGGCTGAGGGGGCCGCTTTCCCACGGCCAGCAGCACCTGGTCTAGGCCAGAGCCCCTCCGACACCCTGCCGGGCGGCGGCTGCTGCCCAGCACATCCGACATTGGGGAGCACGCCCCTGCCGCTTCACCCCTGCCTCTCACCTGCCTCGGCCCTGCCCGAGGCTCACTGACTAACTAAGCGAGACAAAGGCATAAAAGGACTGAGCTTCAAAGATTTTTACCCAGCGCGTTAGTCGAGCGAGGGAACTGCTAAGCTGTTACAACTGGTTGAGAGAGAAAAATCAAAGAGCTTTGTGTTTCTATGCAGTGGATGCATTTTGGGTTACCTTTGGAGACACCCCTGTGGAATCTTTTCTTCTTAGCCCAAACTTCCGTACAGCCCCCCAGCCCGTTGTGAAAAGTAATCTGAAAGAACAGTTATTCTGGACCGCAGAACGGGGCCGGCCCCAGTAGGTCTGGCAGCACAGTTTGTACGGGGCCGCAAGACGGTCAGCTGCCGTGCGGGCCTCCTCCTGTTCGCTTCGCCGAAGACCTCACAACTGGGCTTGTTAAAGCTCGGATTGTTCACTGTCCCGGGGCTGGGAAAGTCTGGGCACAAAGCTCTTACAAATTTGAGTGAACTTGCCTCTTGTCAGGGTCCCCAGAACATCCCAAGGCCCCTGTGCTGCCAGTAGGTAAGGCCTTTCTTCCCACCTGGAAGGCGGGGGTCGAGGGCCAGGGGTCAGGTCAGTGCCCCGGGGAGGGCTTTGCAGGCACCAAATCCTTGTAGTCACACTCAGCTCCTGACAGGAGGCTGGCCACACCCGAGTAAATGAGCCAATTGGCTTCAAAACCAATTTCCCCAGTTGTACCCTGGTTAAAAGGAGGACATATTCTTAGGGATGTTTTGCAGATAACAACGTGGCCGTAAAAAGTAAAGACTTAACTAAAAGTTTCTGTATTAGGGGAGGGCAGACGATAAAAATCAGATACCATTGGAAACTGTTTCTTCTTGTTTTGCAAAAGGATCTCTTCGGTTGTTAAGAGTTGAGGATAGCTGAGGAAGAAAGACAGAGCTTCATATCGACCCAGAAAATGAACCATTAAAACATCGGCAACAGAGCAGACCAGCCCAGCGGAAGGTCCTGCATTCTCCTTCCGCTGGGTGTCAGGTTAGCCATCAAGCTGTCTGTTTTTTAACTACATAGAGTTCTGGAAATCCCGTCAGCATACTGGCATGGTTTGGACGTCGTCCAGATGAGGCCGTGAGACGCCTGTCCCCATGGTCCTTTTCTCTGGGGCTCCGAAGGGCCCTTTTTCAATGAAGTCACGCTCTGGCCTCTAACGGCTCGCAGAGCCTTTCAGGCAAGTGTCTGAGTCAAGCCACACATCTGTGGGTGACAACGCCATGCTTTTGCCTGTTTTGTACAAGATAAAGTTGAAGTGCACAGAAGCTGAGTAGCTTGTGCAAGGCACAGAGGTACGAGGCAGAGGGAGCTTTCCAGCCTGGCTCCCATGCCTTCATCCCAGCCACCACCGTCTGTGGGATGGCCGCCCTTGGCAAAGTCCAGTTCCTTCTGCAAAGTTAGGGAGCCCCCCAGGTGTAAGAGGCTGCGATCCCATTAACTGCCTCTGAAAGCCCAGCTTGAAGCTGTCTTGCCAGGTGAGGCTACAGAGAAATAACCCCCAAGGTCATTTCCACCCCCGACCCCGCGAACTCTGAAGGGCTGGGACAGGACCCCTACTGGGCATGTGGTGTCTGTGTACCTGAGCCCCTCCAGGGGCAGGACCTTTATAAAGGTGTCTCATCTCCCTTGAAGAACTACAAAAGGTGCTCCTTCTCCTGGGCGGGGGCAGTGCCACCTGACCTACCCAGGTTGTAAGACTTCAGCCCAGCCATGGAAATGAACTTCACAAAGTTCAAGATAGCAAAGTCGGAGATGTGCCCATGCCAGTGGGTGAGCAGCCAAGACCCCAGACACAGCCCTCCCACACCACACCCTTTACAGCAAGGCCAGAAACGCCAAGGCCTGTGCTGGGGCCGCTGGTGGTGCACTGTCATGAGAACGTGGGCCTGGCACCCGGTCAAGGGCAAGGCTTTCTGGCAGTGGGGTCAGGAGGCTTTATGGAGAAGTTGCCACTGAGTCCTAATGGCCAGGAACAGAGAAGGAATAAGGGGAGGGGAGGAAAAGGGACTGGACCAGTGGCCGGAGCAGAGAGAGGACCAGGTGTGGGGACGCTGGTGGACTGGGGTGAAGGCTGGAGATAGGAGTGTGGCAGCAACTCAGGCTAGAAAGGAAAAACCCTAGAACCTCACATGCGCAGGCGAGGAGGTGGACCTTCAGTGGCACGACCAGATCTGAGTTCCAGAAACCCAGGCTGGGCGCAGGGGCGAGACCGGAAGCGGAGACCGGTGCAGGGATCAGTTGCTGCGAGGGTCCAGGGCTGCGCCAGGACTGCAGCTGCAGGGTGGACAGTGCAGACCAAGGGCACTGTCACTGACAGCGACTTTGTCTCAGCGTGGCCAGGCAGTCGGCACACAGGAAGTGGTGTTAGTCACAGAACAGCTGCCTTTATGGGAGGAAATATCTGCTCATTATATTTAACTGTTTCCAATAAAGGAAGATGTGAACTGATATTAGCTGAAAAATCACCGCCCACTCAGGCTTGCTTCTCTGCCCAGCCCAGGCTCACGGCAAAGAGGGCCGCAGCATGGACGGTCCCCTGTGCCGTCCAGCCTTGAAGGCCACCTCCCTCACTGTACTTGGGGACCCCAGGGTGGGACTCGAGACCCCTTGGACAGGAGGGGCCAGGGCCAGTGGATCTCCCCCGTGGGCCGAACGGCCACCCAGGCAGTCACGCGTGACTCACTCCGCGTCCCTCCTCTGGGATTTCCTCTGATTTAGTCACGGCACCTCAGCCCCAGTCCTAAAAGACAATTTTTTCTAAGTAAAGACCTTTAAAATTTTTGTGTTACACATAATGGCCTTCCTGAGGCCCCTGGGGACTGACTCCCTGTGGTGAGATGTCTCTAAGCCAAGGTTGTCTCCAGTGAGTCAGACACCCCGGGTGACAGGTATGTGGTGTTCATGGTGGTAGCTTGGCTTTTACAACCCTTTCCAGTGACAAAGGAATGAGGTTTGTCCCAACCTCTCTACAGGCACCGAATGAGGAGTATTTTGTGTAACAGTCAAGTGCCCGAGGTTCCATTTTCTTTCTTTTTAAAAGCACCCTGCGGACTCCGACATCAGCGTGGAAGCCAGTCGCCCAGTCTGCCGCTCCTCATGGCCTGTCCCTCTGCCTTGCAGGTGGTCTTCAGCAAGTACTGCAACTCCAGTGACATCATGGACCTCTTCTGCATCGCCACCGGCCTGCCGCGGTGAGTGGGCGGCCTCGGCCTGCCGGAAGGCGCCTTCTCCCTCCACGTCTTTCCATTCACCTGGACAGGAAGGCACCTGGGGAGGGCGGGGCACCCAAGGAGGAGGGAGGGGAGAGGTGAGGGGAGTGGGAGGGCCTGCAGGCCCACCTCGCCACAGAACCCTGGTGGTTTTGGCCACTGCCTGCCCACAGGCTCTGCAGGCACCGCTGTGCCCGCAGGGAGGACACCACTGGGTGGAGTTAGGCAGCAGGTACCTTGAGAGTTTTCCTTTTCTTTCGTGTATGCATTTGATTTTGCAGAAAGGATGAAGGAGGGTGGCTGTGTTTGGCTTTGGTCCCCCAGCCCCAAACGGTCCAGCAGGTGTCTCCTATCTTGGGGGTCATAGCAGATCCATATTTGGGGAAAGACTGACTTCTGAAATGAGTCGAAAAGGCCAGTTCTCTGCCTTACGGAACCATCAGAATTCCATGAGAATTATCTTCCCACATCAACAGTGCGTTGGAGCAAGTGCGTTTTCCTGTGGTGACTTTTTGACTGTGAAGCCATCCGGAGTAGCTTGGGCGTGACAGTTGCCTTTAAAGTCAGAATCTGGGTCAAGGAGGTGGCCGAGAAGCACCACGGGAGGCTTTTGCAGACCCGTGAGAAAAGGAACTGAAATGACAGCAAACGGCAGGCATTTTGTAGCAGCAGGAATAGCCCAGAGACTGGGCGTCCCTCACAGGCACTGCGCTAAGAAATGCACACAGACTGTTCTTCAGGACAACCCTGAATTTGAGTGCCACGCCCGCACCGTTGCACAGGTTTTACACACACAGCCGAAGAGCAGATAGCACCCATAATGTGGTCTAGGCAACGCCAGCCCTGGGGTGAGGGGCTGCAGGGAGGCCCACCTTGCCCACCTGCAGCTGTTCCATAGGAGAACTCGTGCCCGTTCAGCTGGGCTCCCAACGGGGTGAAGTGGGAAGGCAGACCAAGTCCATCATGAGCCGATCCAGTGTCCTTTCCATTCCACCCCAGTCTTATTTAATCTTCCAACTCAGTAAATTAGACTTTCCCCAATTCCCATTTGAAGTTACTTGAAAGTCTGTGAAGAGTTAGGACTGCTCAGCCTTCCACTTTATTTACAAACAGAGCCTCGGGTCTGAAGGGTGCGTCCCCGGCCTTGGGTTTCCGGGCTCCTGTCTCGCATGAGGCCCCTTCAAGGGTGCGCCCCAGGGAGACCGTCCTGGGTGGAGGCACTGACACGCGTGTCTTCCAGGAACACGACCATCTCGCTGCTGACCACGGATGACGCCATGGTCTCCATCGACCCCACTATGCCTGCAAATTCTGAACGGTAAGCGGCCGGCGGCCTTGCCCCATCCTGCCTCCTCCATGGTGTCTCTGACATCCCTCCCCACCCACACAAGGATCTCTGTGGTGGTTTTTGTAATTTACTGCTGGAGACGTCCAAATTCAAACCGAAGGTGGGAGGGCGAGGGTTGGAGGGACGGAGAAGGAGGCTTCGTTCGGCGGTGGCTTCCTTACCGAGATGGCAACCACTGCGAACGTGCCAGGAGTGTGCCAGAGCTCCAAGTCCAGTTCCCAGCAAGAGCCCCCAGAGCTCGGATAAGTGTTGTTACCACTTCACAGATGGGGAAACTGAGGCATGGGGGACCCTATGTTAACCACCACCCCCTATCCACCTCAAGAAGGGGAGCAGGACATCGGCTGACCAGCGCCCTGGGGCAGAGTTTTCCCAGTGGAACAATCCTGGCGTTGGTGAAGTCCCGCCCCCAGAACTCTCTGCACTGGGGAGGGGAGGGAGCCCTGGCTAGGAGATGAAGAGGAGGGCCTGGGAGGGGGTCAGCAGTGAACACATTTGTGAATGTAAGTCCACTTGGTAAAGCCCAACTGCGTGTGGCCAGAGGAAGAAAGGACAAGGACTCAGAGCCAGGGCCACTCCGCCCCTGGCCGGCCCCTCCACCCAGCAGCCTGCAGGGTCCCCAGCGGTCCCCACTCCACCCCAGCAGCTGGGCGAGGCAGGGCTTAAACTGCATTCTCTGCAGGGAACAGGAGTGTGCCTGGGGTTGGGGGCGCCCTTGGGTCCCCAGTCCATGTCTCCTGGTTCTAAGAGACCTGTGTCAATCCGGTCCTTGGGGTGTCCCATCAACAGAGCCACACCAGCTTTTCTGAGCCTGCAGGACAGAGCCGGCACCAGGCAGCCCCTCCCACACTCAGCGGCTGGAGGGCTCGCAGCTACTTTGTGGCAGCTTGGAAATGTTTGGGCTCCCCATGGTCGGGGCCCCAGGACCTCCCCTGCAGGCTCACCGCACCCTGGGTACGTGCACGCCTGGGCACCCAGGGACAGACACCTGCTCTGCTGCCTCCTTGCCCACAGAAGCCAGCCTTCCCACCACCCCACTAGGCTGGGTGCAGACCCCCCAACCCGAGGCAAGGGTGCCATTCCCCTGAGGACAGAGAACAGCCAAGGGTTTGGGGCAGGGAGCAGGCCAGTTAGCACCCTGGGGTGAGGGGGGTACAAAGCCCTAGGACACTGTGGCCAACGCTGGCCTCCCCCCTGCACCTGGACACCTTGGCCAGCCCTGCTGCTGCCGCAGTGCCCATCAGCCTCCCTGATCTCACCCATCAGGAGCTTCTGCGCCCTGGTGACGGGCTCCAGGCTCCCTGGAAGGAGTGGTGCTAATTGGCTCCTTCTTTAAGGAACAGGAAGTTCTTGTCAATCTCAGCATAAGCCCCAGTTCACTTCCAAAGGACAGTTGACACATCACTGTGACTTGTCCACAAGAGTGATCTTGTCACTCAAACCAGAGCCTTGTTCGCGCAGGCTGGCCTCTGAGCGAAACCAAGTTTTTCCTGAATTCAGTTGAAGCAGTTTGTCTGCGTTCTGTCTATTCAGACTTGGTCACTCATTGACCCTGATTGGTACTCCGTTCTGTGCCAGCACTTCTCATTGGGGCAAGGGGACACCTGGCCACGTCTGGAGACATTATGGCTGTCACAAGGGGGCGTCCCATGGGCGGAGGTCAGGGTACAGCGGCATGTGCCCCGTGCCCAGGACGGCCCCCCATGAAAACGGGCTGCCCAGTGTCAGTGGTCGGAGGTGGGAAACCCGGGTCTGTGAGGTCTCTACCACCTTCTCTTCACAGAGCTGTTGGTCGTCACCCAGAGGCCACCAGCCTCTGCCCAGTGGTGGTCAGCACCCCCAGGCTGGGGGTGGGAGGCGGCTTGTGGCAGCAGAGCGCCCCTCCCTGCCCTCTCACCCCCACCAGGTTCTGACCCTCTAAGTCTGGGCCCAGAATAGGCATCTCTGCAGGTTCCTGGGTGACAGTGAGGGTGTCGGTCGGGACTCCAGCAGAACCCCTCTTCTGACCACTGTGCTTTCCCCCACCCTCAGCCCCTTGCCTTCTCCCCACATTGGACGTGTGACCTTTCCCACTTGGGGACCTGCCGCCTCCACTGGACTCTCCGCCGTCTCTGTCTGCTTCAGACTCTCGCCCATGACAGGCAGTGCCCTCAGAGGTGTCCCCAGCCGGCTCATCTCCCCGAGTCACGTCTAAGCAGCCCCCAGCACAGCCTCCCTGTCCCCCTCATTCCTCTCCTTCCCATCACCGTGAGGGGTCCTCTCCATTCTAAACACACAGCATGAACTAGTCCAGCTAAATGGGAGCGAGGACCCGTTAACCGGGAATTTGTGCGGGATTTTTAAAGCTCCCCATGCAGCTCAGGTGAGACCGCTGATAAAAAGTGTGGAAGCCCTGGGGGGTGACTGTCAACCTCAGGCTGGTGCTCAGCCCGCCAGCAGCCTGGGCCTTCCCTTCCAGGAGACGAGTGGGGTTCATTTTGTTTCTTCTTAGCAACAACGGCCAGGTCGGGGGTGCAGTGAGTCGGGCTGTAACCCTCGAGCTCCCTCCGCTCCTGAAGACACTTTCAGCCCCTCGACTTGTCCTCGTCACGTCCCTGTCCCCCCGCCTCAGGCTCAGGACCCACCTGGTGGGAAGGGCCGGATGCCAGTGCCACCATCGCCCCCCATCTCCCACCTCACGGTGGGCGTTTCATAGTGTCACCCCCAAATTCCGAGGGCTCCTGACCGATCAGACCCGGGGGCCCCAGGGGTCCCGTCTCTTCTGTCTGAAAGCTGTGGCTCATTTCAAACCGAACACCATGACCTTCTGGGTCTTCCTTTGAAATGAGTCCTGCCTCAATGCCTTCCTCAGACCCTCCCGTCTCGCCCCGGCTCCCTGTGCACAGACTCCAGGGTTGCGCTTGCAGTTACCCTGTGGTCCAGTCCTACCCGCCTTCTGGAAAAATCGGCCCCCAGCACAGCTTTCCTGCGCCATGCCCCGCTAGGGGTTCTCAAGGGCGCGTTAGCTGCAGGACGTCATCCAGACTCCTCCGTCAGAGTGGCCTGATTCCTCCTCAAAACACCGGTGTCCACATACATGATCGTATCAGGGCCCACCACCGCCACCAGGCCACTTGCCTTCCCTCCACAGACACCTGAGCGCCCGCGGCTCTGTGCCAACGGGTAAGAGCCCGCTGAGGGCTCCCTCCCCTCCCCACGCCCCTGGCTGTTCCATCCGGTCAGAGAAGGTCCAGACCAGCGTTGTGAATAACCTGCAACCTGCAGGCGCGAGTCAGGGGCTCTGGTTCTAACAGTGGCTACGTGGCTTCTGTTCTCTGGAGGAGCTGGTTAGAAAGGCGATTGATTACCCAGCAACCCTGATCCCTAAAGACCAACAAGTACAAAGAGACACTTCCCAATTTTGTTCAGATAATGCTTGGGCCCAACACTCATTTCTGGACAGGGGACCATTCTGGACCCCCTGGTGACCAGCTGACAAAGGTGTTGCTTCTGAGCAATGCCCCCTCCATTTCTGCCACGGTGGCTTCCAGAGCCTCCTCAGAGGAGAGAAACAGATGCTCACGCGGTGTGAGAAAACCTGGGCCATGGAGAGAGGAGGGGTCCAGAGTGTCACAGCCTGTGCGCCCGCACACCAGCCCTCCTTCCATTCCCTGGTCCAGCCAAGGTGTCACGTGTGTAGCATTCTGGTGGATGGAGGGCCCACGCAGGAGGGCGGCATGGGTGGCCATCCCCCAGCCTGGGAGACAGGCCCCTGGGTCCCAGCGGGGCGCCTTCCCCACTCGGCATGTTTGAAAAGAGGGCGGTAGTGTTTTCAAAAAAGAGGAATACTGTAGCAGTTCAAGGCCAGTGGATCCTGAGAGTAGTTTGCATTGGTTTTGTTGTTGAGGAAGAAAAGACGAGAGGCTGCTGGTTGTAGAAGAGCCAGGAGTTGATTCGGTCGTGGTGGCCCCACTGTTCCAAGTCAGGATGGGGATCAAGGAGCCAAGATGAATCTTGAGGAGCCCGAAACTCAATGCCGACATCTGTGGGTCACCAGTCTGGAAGGTCCCTTACAACTGCTTGGCACATTCTGTCTCACTGCCCGGTCCCACACACACTTTTGCTTCAGTTCCAATGCGGGCTCCCGTCCCCCAGTTCACCCAGGAGAGGTTTGCTTCTGTGCACTTTCGCAGCTGCGATGGCTTTGCAGGGAGTGTCAGGCTCCATTGGGGACTGCGTGGTAGCCTCTGCCTAAGTCTGCCCCCAAGTCCCATCCACGGGGCGTTTGTCCTCAGCCAGGACACTCGACTCTGTCCTTCCCACCCCCAGCCCTGTGTGGAGCCAGCCTTGTTCCCCATGGCATCCCTCCGGGTCATCTTTAACCACTGAGCAACCCTCCCCAGGACAGCTAATGCGTCACCTGTTCCCTGTGGAAACGGCCCACAGTATTTCCACGCCAGCCTTTCAAACCGTGGTCAGACACGTCCTTTCAACCTGCCTGTAAACGTGGAGGGCAGGCCCAGGAGGACAGCAGTATCTTTTTGTCTTGCTCACCTTTCCATCACTGGGACCTACTCACCGTGAGCCCTCGGTGAACAAGTCACTGAAGGGAGGAGTGACCCAGTGAATGCCAGGGACAAATGACATCTGCAGATGTCCGAGTGCACTGACCTTTTGTCTGTTCCCAACTTCACGTGTGAGACCACAAATTGCTGTTACAAGCCGTGGAGTCAGCTCTGGCTCCCCATTACCCTGTGAGTGAGTGGCAGCCACCTGGCCCTGTGCTCTGCAGACCTGCCTCGCTCCCGTGGACTCCATCCATCTCAACTGTGGTCTCTCTCTTTTCCTGCTGCCTTCGATTTTCTCAGCAGCACTGTCTCTTCCAGAGGACCCTGCCTCTTTGCGATGTGCTCGACTTGGGACGGCTTTGGCTTTGACATTTTGTCTCCAGCCGTGGATCTGCTCCCAGATCCCCAAAGGGTTCTGTATCTTAAATTCTGGTTGGTGTCGCTATCTTGCTTTCCCCAGGGGCGTGGCAGGTCACACTTTCACCAGCAACACTTGTAAGAGCCTGCTTCCCTGTGCCTGGCGGCCTTATTCTTAAGGTTAGTCTTCCTTCCTTCCTTCTTTCCCTTTTTTTTGCTCTTAATAGCTATTGCTTCTTTCCATTCTTTGCCTACTTTCCATTGGCTTAATTGTCTTTCCCTGTCCCTTTGCCAGAGGTCCTTGCACATCAGTGACTGACCTTTCGTCGGTCTTGAATGTCACCAGTAGTCTGTCCCCACTCTGTCTGGGGAGGTCGCATGATGTCTGGGGTGGTGTCGCCAAGATGCCAGTTTATTTTCAGCGGAGTCATTGGTCCCACCCTCTGTGGTGCCCTTGGGAGATGCAGCCACCAGGAGAGGATGGAGAGCGCGCCCGCCTGGGTCAGAGGCTGGGGCGGACGTGGGCGGTTCTGGCGGAGTCCCCGCCACCCCAGCCGGACTCCACCCCTGAGCAGCCATGGTGGCACTGAGGACAAGATTGGTTTTATTGGCCAGATAGGAACATTATAGGGAAGTTCATCATTTAACTCATATGCTAAAACTATTTAGAATTCTTTTGAACGAGGAACATCAGAACAGCCAAAGGAACTAATTAAAGAAAACGTACACACACCTAATCCCCTGAATTCTAATTCACCCGAGAGCTTATCTCGGGGACCAGATGAGCCACAACCGACTTCAACAGCATCTCACGGTGAACTGTCTTCTCTCTTACAGCACTCCCTACAAAGTGAGACCTGTGGCCATCAAACAACTCTCTGGTAAGGCCCTGCTATCATTTTAACAATTAAAAGAAGAACAGAAGGCTCCAGGCTACCCATGGGGTGAATCTCTATTGGTTGCACATTAGCATTTAAAGCCCCCATTTAAAGCCTCCACTCCTGCAGGACCTAAAGCCACACGCAGCTGCAGACACAACCTTATGCTCTGCTCATGACAACTGCCGAGGGACCTCCCACCCTCTCTCCAACGACTGAGCAGACACTGGGCGATGGTCCACTCTTGTTCTCCCGCAGTCCGTGCTTGGCCTGCCCATTCAGACTGTGAGCCGCAAAGGTGGGCCATTTGCAGCCGGCCACCTCCAGGATGTCTCAGTCAGTCAGTGGGGCTGCTGCTTTAAAATTCCATTTCCTCTTGGACCCTTTCTCCCTCTCACTTATGTGTGCCTCATGCATAAGCCAAAGCTCCTATTGGAGCATATATTTTGATGAGCTTTGGAAAATTTAGACACCCCTATAACTAGCACCAAAACCAAGACACATGGCATTGACATCACCTGGAAAAGGTCTCTTGTGCCCCCTCCCACTAACCCCCTCCATCAGCAACCCACCTGCTTTCCAACACCATGGATGAGATTTGTCTTTTGAAGAGAATGGGATAAAAGAAATTGCACGCTGCGTGCTCTTCTCCCCTTGCCTGGGTGCTGAGTAGGTCAGTCCATTTTACTGGAGAGGCCTGTTCCATGGAGGGGAAGGACCACAGCTGGTTAATGCAGTCACCTGCTGAAGGGCATCTGGGCTGACCCCAGTCTGGGGCTTTATAGATAGAACTGCTGTGAGAATATGTGAGGACGTGTATTTTCCTTTCTATGGGATTTCTGGGTCATATGGTGAAGTACATGTTTCACTTTATTTTTAAAAATTGCCTATCAGTTTTTCCAAAGTGACTGCACCAGTTCGCATGCCCACCTGCACAGTGTGGGGGGTCCCAGTTGTTCTACTCGTCCCCAGCACTTGGTAGTAGCAGTTTTTATGTTACTCATTCTAATGGGTGTGTGGTAGAATTGCACTAGGTTCTAATTCGTGTTTTCCTAGTGGTAAATGACGGTGAGTATCTTTAGAGTATTTACTGCTCATTCATAATCATTCTTCAGTGAAGTGTATGTCCGAACCCTTCTAATTTGGCCAGTGGCAGTTGCTTCCCTCTTATTACTGAGCTGTGAGTGTGCCGGATGTATCTGGGACACACACCCTTTGTCACATACGTGTTATACTATGTTCTCTCGGTCTGCAGGTTGCCTTTTCATTGTCTTATTAGTGTCTCTTAATTAATGACCAGAAATCTTAACCTTGGATTAGACCTAGTTTATCAGTGTATTCCTTTTTGGTTTGTGCTTTCTGTGTCCTATCTAAGGAATCTTAGTTTATTCCATAATTAGGAAGTTTTCTCCTATGTTTTCTTCTAGCAGTTTTATGGTTCTAGCTTTTGCAGGTCTGTGACCCATTTTGAGGTCATTTTTGTGTGTGGTATGAGACAAGAGTTGAGGTTTATTTTTCCCCTTCAAAATGTAATGTTCATGCAATTTAAATTTTTGTAAGCTTGATGGTTACAGAGCAGGATTTTGAAGCTACCTGTGCCCTGCCAGGTGGTACTCGTAGGACACTGAGGACTGTGCCTGCCTCTCTCTCATTTTTAAGGTGATGATGTTCACCCAGGAGCACTCGTTGCTTTAAGTCACTTTTCTGCTTGAGTAGCTCCTTAGAAAAACAGTTCAGGCGCTGGCTTGTGTGGCCCAGTTGGCTGGAGCGTCATCCCGTAAACCAGAAGGTCTGTGGTTTGATTCCCAGTCAGGGCACGTGCCTGGGTTTTGGGTTTGGTGCCCAGTCAAGGTGCATGCGAGAGGCAACCCATCCAGGCCTCTCACATCAGTGTTTATCTTCTCTCTCTCCCTTCCTACTCCTCTGCCTAAAATCAATAAACATGTCCTTGGACGAGGATAAAAAAAAGAAAACAATTCAGTTCTCTTGAGAGTAAATTTAGAATAGAAAGTGAATTTTAATGTTTTCTACTGCAAAAATACTGTTGAACATAAAAAGCTTACTAATCTCTTGACTTAATCATAAGTTTTTTCACATTATCATTAACTAAACCCTGTGCTTTTTCGGGATTTCACCGCTTTTCTCCTGACATGCTTTTTCTGTCCCAGCAGACAGACACCCCACGTTCCCACATTGCCATCAGTCATTACATCTCCCCAGGCTTCTCTGCTCTCACGAGTCCTCAGACTCTCCTTATTGTCAGGAACTTGGCATTCTTGAGAAGCCTATATGGAATGTCCCCCATTCTGGCCTTGTAAGTCGAGGTCACCTTCAAATGGGAGAGAGAAGACCCGAGGTTCATTTTCTCTGTACAAATACCCATTCCCTCCAGAGCGTTTGTTGAAAAGACGATCCTTTTCCACATTAAATCATTGAGACGCCTTTGTCAAAAATTAGTTGACCGTATATGTACAAGTCTTTCTCAGGACTCACCGTTCCGTTGCATTAACATACATGTCTGTTCTTAAAGTGGTATCATGCCATTGTGATTACTGTAGATTCATACAGTGAGTCTTGAATTCAGGGAATGCAAGTCCAAGCGTTTCTCTCCTTTTCCAAAAACGTTTTGCTGATTCTGAGTTCCTTTTATTTTCAAATGAATTTTAGAATTGGTCTGTCAGTTGCTACCAAAAGAAAAGTCTACTGGGATTTGGATGGAAATTGGATTAAATATATAGAACAATTCGGGAAGAATTACTGTCTTAATGTTCAGTCTTCTGATTCGTGCCTATGGCGTATCTCTCGTTTAGGTTTCTTTTAATGTCTCTCAATAATATGGTATAGTTGTGAGTGTAAAGTTCTTAACGTATGTTGATACATTTATTACTAAGTATTTCATATTTTAATGCCGTTGTCAATGGATTTTTAAATTTTAATTTCCGATAATTTTTAGTTTACAGAAACATAATTGCTATCATGCATTGACCCGGCTAAACTATCACTCATTAGGTCTAATACCTTTTTAGAGATTTCCTGGTTTTTTTACCTCTGCATATAGAGAACTGCTTCTTGCTTTTTTTATTTCTTTTTCTTGCCTTATTGTACTAGCTAGAATATTAGCCCAAAAGGAGACTGGAAGGTGTGAGAGTAGAGATTCTTGCTTCGTACTCAATGGCAGAGGGAATGTGTGGAGTCTTTCAACGACAATGATGACTTTAGCTGTAATTTTCTTTAGATGTCCTTTATCAGGTTCAGAGCTTTTTTTTCTTTCTATTCCTAATTTATTGAGGCTCTTAATTATAAATTGATGTTGAATTTTGTCCAATGCTTTTTCTGCCTTTATTGAGAGAATCCTGTGGGGTTTTTTTCCCCTCTGTCTTGTTAATAGCGAGTTTAACTGATGGATTTTAAATCATTAAACTAATTTTACAAACTCCATAGATGGGGTTTGTTTTTGGAATGTTTTCTTTTTGTTCTGGATTCAATTCGCAAATATTGTGTGAAGTTTATGAGGGATATTGGCCCATATTTTTTTTTCTTATGATGTTCACCTGGCCTCATACAATGAATTGGGGAGTGCTCCCAGGCCTCTTCATGTGTTTTCTGGGGCAGTTTTTTAGAAAAATGCATTTTATTGATTATGCTTTCACAATTGTCCTAATTTTTTCCCCTTTTTCCCCTTCTACCCATTACCCCCCTTCCCTCCAGCCATCCTGCTCTTTAGTTCATGTCCATGGTCGTGCATATAAGTTCTTTGGCTTTACATTTCCTGTGCTGTTCTAACCTCCCCTGTGTACTCTGTACCTACCAATGTATGCTTCTTTGTTTTTTTAGATCCAGTTGTTGATAGTTGTGAATTTGTTGCCATTTTAATTGTCCATAGTTGTGAATTTGTTGCCATTTTAATGTTCATAGTTTTGATCTTCTTTTTCTTAAATGAGTCCTTTTAACCATTTCATATAGTAATGGTTCAGTGATGATGAACTCCTTTAGCTTTACCTTGTCTGGGATGCATTTTATCTGCCCTTCCATTCTGAATATTAGTTTCACTGCGTAGAGTCATCTTGGATGTAGGTCCTTGCCTTTCATGACTTTAAATACTTCTTGCCAGCCCCTTCTTGCCTGCAAGGATTCTTTTGAGAAATCAGCTGACAGTCTTATGGGCACTCCTTTGTAGGTGACTGTTTCCTTTTCTCTTATTGCTTTTAACATTCTCTCTTTATCTTTAACCTTTGGCACTGTAATTATGATGTGCCTTGGTGTGGTCCTCTTTGGGTCCATCTTGTTTGGGACTCTTTGTACTTCTGGGAGACAGCTTCCTCCTAGACAAAACTCCGGAGGCCAGGCAGCAGCATTGTCCCCTCTCTGAGCTCTCCTCCACACAGAGCCACCAAGTGGTAACACAGGTTGTCCCGCCCTGGCGATTATCTGAGTCTCCGCCTCATCCAACTTAAACGGTATGCTTTTCTACATAGACCACACTACCAAGACAGGGAGTCAAAGCAGCTCTATCTAATACAGAGAAACAAACACAGAGAGGCTGCCAAAATGAGGAGACGAAGAAATAAGGTGCAATTGAAAGAACAGAACAAAACCCCAGAAAGAGTACTAAACATAATGGAGACAAGCAATTTTTCTGGGAGAGTTTATATAGAGCTGGCCTTAGTTCTACCTTAAGAGCTTAACAGAATCCCCAGTGAATACATCGGTGCTTGGAGTTTCTTTGTGGGAAGGTTTTAAATTTTGAGTTCAATTTCTTTTTTTTTTTTTTTAATTTTAGAAAGAAGGGAAAACAGGGAGAAAGAGAGGGAGAGAAATAGTGATATGTGAGAGAAACACCAGCCGGTTGCTGTGGGCCTGAAGCACAGACATGTGCCCTGACTGGGTGTCGGAACCCGTGACGTCCCGCTTTGTTGGATGGCGCTCACCAACTGAGACACACCGGTCAGGGCAATTTCCTTAGTAGACAGGAATACTCAGGTTTTGTGCTTATTTGGGGGTTC